ATATAACAGGACTCCCATTTAGTAATTCAAATTGACTAATTGTATATTTCATTCTAATTAATTTAATTTTTATTTCTTTAAAGTGATTAACGTAACTTTGCCGGATGAAAAGTCGAATTACGTACATCGAATTGGTCGTGTAGGACGTGCAGAGCGAATGGGTCTTGCCATTAGTTTAGTAGCGTCTGTACCAGAGAAGGTAAAAAATAAATGTACTTATACAAATACATTATACTATATTTATTCTTCAAAGGTATGGTATCACGGTGACTGGTGCCAAACACGAGGAAGGAATTGTCATAATACAAATTTAACAGATGTTCGCGGTTGTTGCATTTGGTATAACGAAAGAAATGTATGTACTTTAATCCAATATTAATTCAGCTTGTACTTAATAAATTTTTTTATTAAATTAGTTATTAGCTGAAGTGGAAGAACATTTAAATATAACTATACAACAGGTTGATAAGAAAATGGTAATTCCAGTTAATGATTTCGACGGCAAGGTTGTTTACGGCCAGAAGAATCTCAGTACAGGTACTGGCTATAAGGATCATGTTCAACAGTTAATCCCAGTTGTGCGAAAGCTAAATGATTTGGAATTACAATCACAATCTTTATTTTTAAAACGTTTAAAAGTATAGATCGCTTTATTAAATTAAATTATCAGCATATGTTAGCAGAAAATATATCAAATTACAAACATAATATACATTTACTCAAATAAAGTTCTAATAAATTCTATACAATAGTTTGGCTTTACGTTAAGTATTTTACTGCACTTTATTCGGATTTTATTATTGTTTTAATCTATTCCATCTTCGTCTTCTTCATTGAATTGGGCGCGTGTTTGTTGCAAATTTAATAGTTGCTTACAGAGTTGGTTTCCAAAAGATTCAACATAACGAGGACTTATCTTGTCTAGGAGTGCATAGGGAGTTTCATACACTTCCTCCTCATTGATCTCTTTCTTATTCTTATCAATTGTATCGTATTCGTGAGATACTACTCGAAACCCAACATTTGATGCATGCACGCAATAATTTTGACCCTCAATGGTACGTATGTTTAGGTAAATGTTGCTTTCATTACTTGGCACTGTTTTTGAAATTTTTATTTCATCTACATGCGACTTTACATCGTTTATTATCGCCGTTGCTTCCTCCTCCCAGTTAATAATTTTTTCTTCGGTATCAACTCCCGCAGTTTCGGACGTCATATTCTTAATGGTTAGAAACGCCTATTTTCTATGTATTTAGTTTTCAAAATGCGCTACAGCATATGTGCTATAGATTTTATGTACTTGACCTATGAGCTCATTTTTCGTGGTGTAGTAATGCAGAATACCCAACTTCACACGCCGGTTGCCAATTTTATATTAATTATTTTTTTACACACATGCGTAGAATTCTATAATATTTTTTTAATTACATAAAAAATTTATAAAAAATTATATTTATATTTAATCTAAAAAAATAATTTATAAACTAAAATATTCACAAACAACATTAATTTTCAGATAATTAAATTAAGAGATCCGATTACTTTAGATTTAATGATTAAAATTAATCACTATTCAAACAGCTGATTTCAACACAAAAACAAATTGTGTCAAAAAAGTGGAACCACAAAATATATCTCCAACACATTTTACACATAACATGTGTTATGGATAGAATTAATTTAGCTTTTCAAACACTTTTAAATGAAGCAGAGGATTTTAGGATCGGTTCTGATATATTAGAGTTAAACACTGTTCCAACTGCTTTAGAATTCACTCGTGATAATTATGCGAAAAACGTGCCTGTAGTGATTCGAAATGCAGTAAAAGGTTGGAACGCCGTGAAACACTGGACACCTGAATATTTGCAAAAAAAAATTCATAATAAAAAGGTTGACGTAGCGATAACACCAAATGGTTATGCAGATGGGTTGGCGCAGCAAGATGGAAATGACTATTTCGTATTGCCTTTGGAAGAGAGTATGCATTTCTCCGAGTTTCTGCAGTGTTTAGACAACTCCGCTGGGCCCGTGTACTACATACAGAAACAAAATTCAAACTTTTTTGAATTTCCTGAAATAGCAGATGACATAGATATCAGTTGTTTAAGTTTCGCAACAGAATGTTTTAATAAGCCCCCGGACGCTGTTAATTTTTGGATGGGCGACGAGCGTGCAATAACTTCGATGCATAAAGATCCGTATGATAATTTATATTGCGTTGTTGCAGGCTACAAAGATTTCTTATTATTACCTCCATATCAAATTATGACTATCCCCCGAAAGAAATATCTAACAGGTGTGTATAGAAGGTCCGGTACAGGAAAATTTTTTATTGAAGCAATGACACAGCACTCTGAAGAAGGTATTTCTGAACCAGTATTAACTGAATGGATTAGCATAGATCCTCTTAATCCCGACTTCACTAAATATCCACAATATCGTCAGGCTACACCCTTAAAAGTACGCGTAAACGCTGGGGATGTGTTGTTTTTACCAAATTTTTGGTACCATCATGTTAGACAAAGTCATAAATGTATAGCTGTAAATTTTTGGTATGACATGGACTTTGATAGTCGATATTGTTATTTTCGAATGCTTGAAAAATTAACAGAGTGTCAGGAATGAAAATTAATGGAAAAAAAAACAGAAATAACTGAACAATAAATTATTTTTAAAATTAAATGTTTATTGCCTATTTCAAAAGATGTCCAAGTTACCAATATTGGTGTACGGTACTATGAGTTGGTTTCATACACTGGATTATAGAAAATATATTCATTTTTTTTTTAGATAAGTGATATATGTTTAATAGAAACAATATTCTGTCTTTGCGAAATTTTATTCGATTTGTATTATATTCTCTTGTGACTGTCACAAAATATATTGTTAATATAAAAATCCCTCAAAGATGCACTGTTGTATTTATATAGCTTTTCCAAGAATTTTTGTATCAAAAATTAATAATTACTTCTCGAAACATTTTATTGCTTTTGTGTAAGGAAAGTCTCGCTAATTTTCGAAGATATAACAATAAAGAGAATGAGAATTTTTTGGGCGTAGCTATAAATCGATAGATTTCTATTTAATGTTAGAGTCAGGATACATATGGTAGTAGTTGGACGTGTTTAAACTTGAAATGTGACAGACCTCGATGTATTTGTAACAAAAAAAGGTATTGACGTATGCAACATGGTGGTTCTATTTGTCGTATTATACTTTCTAGCACACATCTTGATACCACACATGTTTTGAGTGACGAAGTGATGCTCGTCCCTCGTAACAGAAATAGAAATAGAAACAACAGGCATGTTGTTGTGACAATAATTATCGTTTACTACATACGTGTTAATTTGGGTTTTCGTTAGGAGAATCGTTTTTCCAAAAGTCATTTGTTCGCTGTTTGACTAAACATATAAATTACGTCCGTAATAAAAACTTAAAACATTTGTAAATAATTTTACGTCTTACGTAGTTGTCTTTAAGTAATAACAATTAAGCTTAAAAAAAACAGCGATTTGTAGAAGCTAAATATATTTGAAATAAATAAAATTTTGAAATATTAAATGCTAACAAATATAAAATAAGAATGTTGAAGTTATGAGAAGCAATGTCAGGCGAATTTATGTAAAACGAAGTGATTTGAAAAATTATTCAACAGTTTTGTCTTCTTTAGCAATTTCTTGATCTGTTTTCTCAATATTAGTATTTGTGCCCTCATTATCTGTAAGTACAGAACCACTATTCGTTTCTGCTGACAAACAATGTAACAAATTACTTGAAGCACCACCTAGAGGTTTTTCTTCATCCGGGTTTTCATTATTTTCAAAGTTGTCCAGAGGTGCGACACTATTTTCTTTTTTAGATTCCTGTAATTGGTCGAACGGTTTTATTTGATTATACGAACTGGAACTTGTGTTGGTTGAACAACTCTGATCAGCTTCAGCTAAATCTGTATCATCAGCATTGTCAAATATTTGTTGGTGTCCCGTATTCGAACTTGTGTTGTTACTGGTGCTTATTATTGAGCAGAAATGCGTGTTGGTGTTAGAATGATTGCTACTTGAAGCAACATTTTCACATTGTGAAAATTGTGATCCAACACATCCTTGTAACTTATTTTTTATGTACGGTTCTATTGCTTTGTTTTCCTCTGATTTGCTAGATGTTCTGTGCTGTTCAACTAAGAAAATTTTTTCCAAATATGATTCATACCAACTTAAAAACTCTTCACGTTGACGTGGAATCCCTGATTTTTTTATTTTTGCATAAATTTTTTTTGGTGAGAATCCAGTTGTGTTATGCTGTAATTTTTTTATGTTAGGCGTTGATGCGTTTGATGGTCGCATCCTTTCTGATGCACTTGCTGCTGTTAACCTTATAATATCAGTCAATATTGTGTCAGTAATTGTGGAACGAGTTTGAATTCGGTTTCGTATGCGGTTCATTACATTGCGTATAAAATCAAAGTCTGGGGTGTTTGCTGCAGTATTATGGGTTATCTGTAAAATGTATTTATTAGTATAACAACTCTGATTATTTTCTTATAATTAAATATTTGACTTACTAATTTATTGCTTGATTTTGCAAGTTGTGCTGCTAAGCTACATGCTCCTTCTAGTGTCATTTCCACCTCTTCCTTTCTCTGATCACTTTTCGTTATTTTAGGTGATTTGTTAGTTAATGCATAACTTGAAAATTTTATAAATTCAATATCAGAATTTTGATTGTGATTTAATCTTGTATCATCTTCATTTTCATCTTCTTCTGGTTTATCGTTTTCTGTGAAATTGTTTACCTCAATTACACCTTTATTGCTTTCTGTTTCAGCGTTATTAGCTTCTTCTTGCTCATCTAACTCTAATTGATTTTGTTGAAAAATCTGTTGTTGCAAGGAATCACTTTGTTGGTTATGGATACGTGCATTCTCCAATTTTCGTAGTGGATCTCTTAAACTATTTTGGTGCTGATCATTTGTAAATTGTGATACTACAAACTCTTCGTTGCGAGAACGTTGAAGATTATCATCCCTTTCAAGTATTATTCTCTCTAGACGACGGAAAACATCCTCCTTTATCGATTCATAGAACTTTGTGGTGAATTTATCATTTTTTAATGCATTCACTAGTAGATTACGTTTAATTTCTTCTGATGTTGTATCTTCATCATTGTCGTTTCCATCATTATCAAAACTATCAGCTATATTATCAGCTCTAAATGATGAATTTGGAATAAAGTCGTATTCATTTGCTAAATCAACAGTTCCTAATAAGAAACCACGCTCACTACGTTCTGGACGCATATTTTCACTCATGTTGTCAATATTTGCTCTTCCTGCAGGAACTCGGAAATGTTCTGGAAAACGTTGCTGTAGGCGTTGGGTATTCTGAAATTGTTGTTGTTGTTCATTAGAGCTACGAATAACGCCAACACATTGTGTGTGTTGCTCCTCATTGCTCTTGTTTGAATTAATCGAGAGTAAATTTTGACGTGAATAGCTAAAAAATAGAAGCAAACCGGAATAAACAAAAGCAAATTTTAAGTTAATTGCATTAGGTTAATAAAATAGATAGTTTTTAATTTTTAGTAGAGTTATTTTAAAAGAATTCACATACAAAATTTAACACATTCCGTTTAAATTAAAAGTATAATAAACAGTTTTTAAATAAGTTAGCATTTTGCTTTGTTAGTTGCCATAAAAGGCGAAAAAATATGGCCTATATAAGCTCACATAAATAAGGTTTAAAGATATAATATATGGTATAATGTACTTACTTAATATATATTTATATATAAATGTGTATATTTACATTCTATATAAATCTGTAATATTTTTGAAAAATATATTTAATACCATTTCGCAAGAAAAAATGAAGTTTGCCAGATAAATTTTTTATTTAAATTACAAATTATATATATTTTAGTTACAAGTCCGATAGAAAATGCCAAAATATTGAAATTCGTTTAAATAATATTAATAGTAAATCAATTATAATTTGCATTAAATGAAATCTCTTACTATATTTGGTGTTCTTAATTCAAATTATATAAATAATAAATAATATATTAAAAATAAAATCCAATAGATAAATATAAAACTTTGCATTACTGAAATTAGAATTAACACAATATTCATAAACTTGGCTTTGGGTTGAAAGACTAGACTAGAATTGAGTTTTCAAAAATTTTATATAAACGAAATTTTACTTTTAAATAAATAATTTTAAGTCGATATAGTTCTGAAATTTGAAACCTACACCAAGAGGAGCAAAGTAGTTGTTTGTTTACCTTCTAAAATTGTCCCAGAAATTATTTGCCCTGCTTCCTGGCTGCACTTGATTATTCAGTGTATTACTGTCGTTTAGTACATTGTTATGTTGTTGCTGATGCTGACGTTGCTGCAGATTGTTGGCATAGTGATTTTGTGTACGCAAATTTGCATTATTTTGATGTATTGAATTATTATGATGATGCATGAATATAGGTCCAGGCCCATGGCCACCAGTAACAGGAGATTGCGGTGCTTCATTATTAAAATGCGAAGATTGCGGGGTTGGTTGTATTGCGTTGTTAAGTGTTGAGTACAAACTTGCACTGGCACTAGAGGCGTTATGTTGTTGTATTTCATTAGTGTAGTTGTAGCCGTTGGATGATGTCAATAATCCACGTTGTCGTTGTTGATATAAATGTTGTTGCTGTTGTTGGTGTAGTTGTTGTTGCTGTTGGTGACAATTCATAAGCGCAGTACGCGCTGAAATATTTGGTAATCTGGACGCAAAAGGATCTGGTTGTTCTGATTGAGCACGATTAATCCCACCATAGAAATTATTTGGAATCGTACCTGGCATTGTTACAGGTGGTAGTGATTCTGAACGTATATTTAAGGAAAGATCTGCTGTAGATGGCCCAGTTAAAGTTAATAAACGTTCCTGCAACTGTTAAAAAATGGTATAATTATATTTTGAATATAAAAGAGCGGAATTCAAGAAAAGCTTACGATATGAATAGTATTATTCAGAGCATCGATTTCTCGCTGTTGATGCCATAGCATTTGATTACATTGGCAAACAGAATTAATGAGTATTTGTTGTGTTTGTGCAAATTGTTGTAACAACATAGGATCCGTTGCTAATTGGGAAGCTGCTGAAGAACTTGTAAAAGTAACACCGGCACTAGCATTATTTAAATTATTAGACACATTGCAAATGCATTCGTTACTACTAGGTGCGGCTGAAGAAGATACTGGTGGAGCTGCTGTGTGTGAAGTACTTATATGTGATGGTGAATAAAAGTTTTGATTCCATGCTGCAGGCAAAGGCGGAGGAATGGGTCCTGCTGAAAAATTTTATATTTATCAATTAACTTTAAAGTTATAATTATTACAATACTCACTCCAATTGTTATTACCCATTGCAGGCATAGGTGGAGGCATTGAAAAGGAATGCGAACTTCCTGATTTCAAACTGCCTGCTTCAAATGACGCGGCATCCTGATTACTACATGTTGTATTTGCAGCATTTATAGAAATATTTCTCTGATTAGGACCTAAAGTTGGTTTGATGCAATGAATTTGGGCATTAGAAGAGCTTTGATTTACATGACTTGACTCAGCTCTAGATGTATCATAGTTGGAGTTGTGAACAAAGTCCTCAGCGTCTTCTTCAACTTCTGACATTTCATTTGTGTGATTATCTGGAATAGGCGTAGCAGAACCTGCTTTATCTTCATTCTGTAAACGTTTACAGAGAAGTTCAAATTCTTTTTTTTTAACTTCGTATTCTGATTTTAATTGATCACGTTCTTCTTGAGAATCTTCAATGCGTTGACGTGGAATCGGTGTAGGTGTTAGACTATGTCGTTTAAGTGCATCTTCACCCAATTGAGCGGCTGCAGCAGCTTGCTCTTTACGCCGAGCAATTTCCTTCTTGAGAGCTTTAATATGATTTCTTTCAGTTTCAAAATTTTCGGCTTGAGCTCGTAATCCAGAACTTACTTCATTTAAAATTCGAACTTTTTCTGCTAAATTGTCATCATCCGCATAATCGTTATTAGATGTACTCGATATTGAAGCAATAGGAGTTCGATCACGGTCAAATGAATTCAAAGTCTGTACGTTTGTTGGAGTTCGACCAATATCCCTAATCTCTCTTTCCGAATGGTTTTCCATTAGAGTTACAGTTTCCATCATATCTTTAAGACGTTTTAGTTGTTGTTTCATTGCTGCAATATCGGATACCCTTTGCTGTATAAGGGCAGCAGCTATGGCTTCATTCTCATCTTTGTTAGTTATTCCAGTTATGTTTTCAATATTATCTTTTTTTTGAGAAGGTTGCAATACTTCGATAGGAACAACACGTGAATATTCAACTGGAACGTGAAGTTCAGATTTTTTATTACTTTTTTCTGCATTTTCATGATTTTTAGCATTTTTTACAGATTTCTCCGCAGATCTGTTAATATCTTGCAATTCGTCTACTAATCCTCGCATTTCATTTCGATGCATGCGTAAAGCTTCTAATTTACGTTGTAATGCTTGTTGTTCAGCCATTACTTCTGGTCCATCTTCACCTAGTAGAGAGCTTAATTCATTCTGTCTGTTTATAAATGCCGTTAAATTTTTCATGCGGCTAACTAAGGTTTCCATATCTGAATGGACTTCATCAAGAGATTCATACTCTGGCAATTCACCATTTTCTCCATTATTATTTTGACCATCTGTACTACCGAAACTCAGATTTCCTGCACATTGTCGTAAACGTTCCATGTCATTCAAGTGCTGTTTAGCTGTGTTTTGTAAACGCAGCAACTGTTGTTGTTGTTCCTGCATGTTTTGTATATTGCGATTACTACGTTCTAAACGTTCCTGCAATTCTTCATAGGTGGGTGTGTTATCTGGTGTAGGAGTTTCTATACTATGCAGCGATTGTATAGATTGTGCTCGATCGCTTGCCTGAAATAATATATATATTAATTTATTATTAAAAATTACCACTTACTTTTTATTGATTTAAATTTATATTTTTGTTATATTCTTAAAATTTTTTTTTACTCTGAATAGGACAAGTTTTTACCTCACTCAATGCAACATCCTCTAGACTATTAGAATTCACAAGAACATCCTGCCCATTTGCTTCTCGCACCATTTTAGTTTTTGTGTTCTAAATGAAAGTAAGAGATAAATATGCAGAACTAAATTAACTATATGCTGAATCATATATATGTGGATAATAAATATCCAGCGGCAAAAAAAATTAAAAACATATAGGCTTGTAACATATGTAACATATTAGGTTGAGCAAAAACTATTCGGCGTTTTTTATGTTTTTTAAATGTTTCAAACTATAGTTTGTTTGAGAAATTGACGCAAATGTTTTTTATAGTCTTTTTTATACGTTAGTAAAAAAAGTACTGATGTAAACAGTAAGAGGATATTGCTAAGATACCACAAATAATACTCTAACGGTGAATATATCAAACTTTTCCAATTAATTGTTATCACACGTTTATTCCTTATTGGCAGTAACCCCTACCTCAAGTCCATGACTTGCCCAAACAGTAGTAGGTCATAATGAATGACAATATGCAATCACTATTACCATTTGTGTTGTCAATCTCGGCTTGCCTAAAACCGTTTTTGCATAACATAATCGCACGTAATATAATCCTAATCATCTGCTTTCTTACGCTTTAAAATGGCTTGAAGGTTTGGTTCAATTTCAAATATTTTCCATTTAAAATGCCAAGTGAACAGAAAAAGGTCGATTATTTTTTCCTCAACCTAATTTGATTGGTAATTTGTATGGTTACCTTATGTGTGGATCTTGAACTATTTTTAGAGTTGTTTGTAGCGACTGTTGTAGCGCTTGCAAAATCAGTTGCAGAAGGATTATTGACGTTTGAACTCTTTTTTGCAGTTAAATTTAAAAACTGTTGTATTAGTTGCAAACGTTGCAATAAAATCGCATCAGTTTGATTAGTGTTGATTGTAGATGCAACTGGTCCGGAAACTGCACGTGGTGACAGCGATGTTGCTAAGTCCAATAAATTTGTTGGTAGTATGTTATGTTGCTGTTGTTGATATGTTGATAATAATGGTTCATCAATTAATTGTTGTAATGGAACTAATACCAACTGTTGCTGCTGTTGTTGTGCAGGTTGATGTGCCTGACTTTGGTTAATTGGTATTTCTTCGGTGTTTGCAGCTAGCCCTGGAGTAGGTATAACGACACCGATTGTTGCTGCCTGATTAATAAGATTTGTGTTGTAATTATTTAAATTTGCCGAGTTGTGTTGTGATTGATCTGGGTTTCTTCTCGGTATTGGACGGACTGGATAGCAAAATCTTTGGTTTTCCTGAAGATATTCTGTAAAGAAATGTAGTCAGGATCATTAATTGTTTTGTTTCCGCATTATTTATTTCAATTTTCAGCTACACTGATAATAAATAATATTATTAAATATAAATTCCAATTCCTATAAAGAAATGTCTGTAATATGTATGTATTTTTAGTTTAAAAAAGTTTAATTTAATATATATGTATATGCTAATAAGATTATTTTTGTATAAATTTTTAGAATTATTGACCAAATAAGATAAAATTATTAATTTCGATCAATAAACCATTATTTAATGCATGAATCACTTTGTAAAATCCTTTTGTTGTATTTTACTAAACTAAATATAGACCTACAGGCAATACATACAAATGGTTCTATTGATAATGCTATAGGTAAAATAAACAAAATTTATATACTATGTGCACAAACTCATTCAATGTGTCTATATTTAGCAGATGAATTATTTTAAGTTTCTCTATTCAAAAAAATAAAAAAAAAATATAATAAAAAATGAAATGAAGACATGTAAGCAAAGTACATTTCTATTATAAAGTATGAAATTTGTTCACATTTTGGTTATTAATATTTACCAATATCGCATCCAGAAACTCCACTGCTGCCTTCGGTAAAGTTCTGTTGAAGCTGCTGCTGTTGCTTTTTAAAACCACAATTACTGGTTCCGTTCTTAAGTTTGGAATTTTGCTGCTTATGATCACTCACTGTTGAGTACTGGTGGTCATGGCTCCTATTACTGACGGTTGAATTTACCACAGTCGATAGAAAGTAATCCTTGGAAAGATATAACCAGATTACAATTATTGTTAACAAAAGAATATCGAATATTGTAAAGCAAGCAATTTTGGCTAATTTTATATAATGAATGTTTCAAGAAGTCACTTCAAACACTTCTCCGTAAATTTTTCGTGTCGTTATACGTCGAATCAAAAATTTTACTGAGCACACGAAAATATTTTTTTATAATGTTAAATGAACTCAAAACATACATGATACAGAGAACTTATAGGAATTGAAAATATTTTGTGCACTACAAAATAAAAAAGTGCTAAACACTTATGGCATTTTCACCGCATGGGACATTATATTAATGTATATATATATCATTTTTAATACAAATATATTATTATAATAGTTCTTCCATTTAATTAATATGCCAAATAGTACAATAGATGGAAGTTACATATGAATTATGTATTCAATTTAATTGAAAATGATAATTAGTAATTAATATGATTTCTAAATAAATATTAAAATAAATATTACATTATTTTTATATAATAAATAATATATTATATATATATATTAATATACATTAAAATATTTGGGACTATGTTAACAATGTTCAGATCGCATTATTTTAGATCTGAACTCCGAGGTCAAACTTGAGAGCTTAACGTGATATAACGGATATATATATATATATATATCATAACAATATAAGAAGTACTTATAAGAGGTGTTAGAAAAACGATTAAAACAAAAAAAATTGTTAACTGTATATATTGTTTATGTATGTAAACAATATTTTTGAAAATGTTGGATATTAAATATTACTGGCGAAATAAAGTTAACGTATTTAAAAAAAAAATTTTAAAAAAAATGTATCAAATATTTACATCAAAAAAATTTTATTTTGATATACCTTATTTCGATTTTATTATAATTTAATTATTATTCGTAATAACATTTTATATACTGATAAATAATTATAATTCTTACGTTTAAATCATTTAGTTCTCTTCTGATCGGAGCCACAATTTCTGTATTTTTTCGCTGTTGCATTCGTTGCTGAATTTGTTGTTGTCCTACGTTTGTTGATATGCACTTTGTCGGAGCTGTTGCATTACTTTTTGTTGCTACAGACGAAGTCGATGTTTTTGGAACAGTTCCAGTTTTTCGTACGGTGGATGCACTTAGTGAGTTATCTTCATCAATGTCGTGGTTTTTATTAGGAGAATTTGAATTTTGACTATTATTGCCGCTGCTTGTGTGGGGATTTTTAGCAGGAGCCATCTTTTATTACTTGTTAGTTTCTATAAGTAATTTTTTTTATTGTGTTGATAGTTTTCATCTATATGTACTAAGTTCATTAGTACATATAATTAGTTGACACAAATTTAATCATTTATTATAAATATACTTTTTAGAATCTGCATAAAAAAAATATGCATGTAATTGATAAGTTTTATTTAAAATAAAAAAAATTAGTTAAAAATGTAACATTCGTCGGCAAAGTAAGAAATCACTTATGACGTTTGTTGAGTGTAATTTTATTGACTTTGTTTTTAAACGGCAATTGCGTTAACTATGGTTATATTTTCTCACTTCTTTGTTATTTATTATATACACAATAATATAAACATTCAAAATTATATATGCAACTTATTTATTAGTTTAATTACAATTCATAAAAAAATTGATTTTTATTGCAGTTAACCATCTCAACAGACTAAACGTAAATGATCAACCCTGTGTCAGATATGGCAAAAATCATCTGTGCTTGTCAGTGTTGATAAACGTTTATTTATGTATAAATTGTAACAAATTAAATTTCTATTTTAATGAAATTTTTTTAGTCTACTCAACTGTGGATTTCAAATCACAAAACTACCTTTTGCGAATGCAAAACAGACATATTTTGAAAAGTACATGTGAACATATTAAAAATTTTTAATAATTGTACTTATCCTATATCCTATTAGTTTTACACTTCGCTGAAAATATATTCACGCAGCAAAACGTTATTTTATCTTAATTTAGTTTGTAGTTGCGCTAATAAATAATGCAGCAAGCAATGTTTTGTTTTGCTTTGTTTTAGTTTATGAGAACTCACAATATCGCTACACGATTGTATTATTATATATTACGAGCTTAATTTCAATTTGGTTCTGTACATATAATACTATTTGTAATTTTGACTGTATAATTTTTATATGAAATCAATTGTAATTTTAATTTAATATTGTAACTCAGCGATACGAATGAACCGTCAAGGAACACTAAATTTAAAATTAGAATTACTTATGCTATGTGAAACGGCTATATATTAATAAATTGATATTTTGATTAATTCTTAGTTTTGAAAAAAAATTGTATAAAAATATGTGCGACTTAAAACATAAAAAGATTAGTGTAGAATTTGCAAATGTCTTTTTTATTCTGGCCGTAATAATTTATGACATCTCGCACAATATTTATATAAATTATTTGCAATTTTGAATAATGCAAAATAACGATTCAACATATGCGAAAAATATTTTAAAAAATAATTTCTAATTCAATTGACACCATTAAAAAACAATTTAAAATTTTTCATTTTGTTTTGCCAATAGGGTTTTAATAACATATGTTGTCTTGACGATATGTAAACAAAAGTGTGTTCAGTGACTGCTAACAGAGAAATTTTAAAAACTATCTTTAAATTTTAAGTTCAACACTGCGCAAAATTCTTAATATGGCCAAGTGCAAGGTTCGAGTAAATTGAGGTAATGTAATTATTTATTGCACTTATTTATTATTATTGGTTAAAAGTTTTTAAATTTATTTAATAAACATCTTGTAAAATGTTCACAATAGTAATACTTAATTTATCTAATTTTTATCTAATTTACCCTACTGAAAATTCTGGTAAATACCAACATTCGCTGCCATATCGACATAATATAATATTTCCCTCAATTTACCATAAATTTACTCGAACTCGCGCACGGCCTATATCTTTTATATATTCAATCACATTTAATATAACCGTTTAGATGCTGTTGAAGGTGAAAGCTTTTGTTTCATAATATTAAGCAGAAGATAATAATGTTCTAAGACCCTTTACATTCTTTAAAACTTTACGAAAGGCTTAAAGCGATGTTTCTTACTAAAATCGATGTTTTGACTGCTTTTAGTATGATTATTAGAAGATTTATTACAATTAAAGTGCATGTTGTACTTGAATTTTGCATGGAATGTATTCTATGAGATTTATTATAGTTAGTTCTGTTCCCATATGTACTTCAAGTAAAATTCAAGTAAATTAATATTAGTCGTAATTTTTTCTTTGAGAGTAGCGAAAAATGCAACTCACGAGGGAAAATATGTAAAACAACAACAATGCTCTTAAAATTGTCAGAGTTAGGTTTTACTCGCAAAAATTTTTACGTCTTAAGTTTTCGTGCAGTCATATTTAAAAATCAGTCTATTGTAAATTTTTACTGGAAATATGTTGCAGAATTTCAGTCATTCGTTAATATCATATGAGGATTTTATTTACTATTAATATCAAATACATACCCTTCTAATAATTAATTGTTCTTTTATTTAACTTAATTGTTAGTGTTCATAATTTTTGTATTTTATAATATATACAATACAACTAAAAACATACATATGTCAAACTCTGAAAGAAAACATTACGGCTATTAATTCATATTTGAAATTAATATTTAACCAAATAACCGAGTAAACCGAATAATCTATAAAAAATTCTTTCACATGATTTGCTAAAGTTTAAATTAGAAATTGCATCGTCATAAAACTTTTTATTTTAATTGAAATCTTCATTTTTGTTTCAATTTTTGTGATTCATTTTTTTATTTAATGCATTGTTTTAAATTATTAATTGCTGAAATTAAAATAAAAATTAAAGGCTTCTAAATAATTAAATTAATTTAATTATGATTTTATGGTATACTGATGGGTCTAAAATGGAAGATGACAGTGCAGGAGCAGTGCAGGAATTATAGGATCGAAATTTTGCAAAGCAATCGCAATGGAAAAAACCCCTTTCATTTTTCAGGCAGAGATCCATGCCTTAGAGCTATGTGCGAGAGAGTGCCTACGCATGGGCATCGGAGGTACCAAAATATACACTCTTTCGGACAGCCAAGCAGCTCTAAAATATTTAGTAAAGTTCTCATTCCAATTAAAGATGGCCTGGGAATGCTTTCACCTTCTCAATACTATAGCATTGAGGAGCTATGTTACGCTTATGTAGGTACCGGGACATGAAAGGGATGAGGGCAATGAAATAGTGGACACCCTAGCAAAGAAGGGATCATGTACTCCTTTCATTGGTCCAGAGCCGTTCTACAGGGTAAGAAATAGCTTCGCAAATAACTTATTATGAGTTATTGTTAACAGGAGAAACAAAATCTACTTGAATACTGGAGAGCTGAAACAGGCATGCGGCAGTCAAGAAGATTCATTGATACTGAACACACCAAAGTTGACGCTATCCTTAACTTTAGTAGAAACGATATTAAACTCTACACTGAACTTTTTATAGGACACTGTAGACTCAATTACCATTTAGACTCAATTACTAATTAGACTCAATTACCAATTTGACTCAATTAGAAAATGATTCCTGTCGACTCTGTCATGATGAGAAGGAAATATCAGAACATATTCTATGCGGTGGCAAGACGTACACTTGATTACCTTGGAACCCCGATCTGAGTCCCAAATCAAATATGTAAAATTAAGCCTTCTTAAGCACTGTAATTGGATTGTATGTTAATGAATTAGTTAATGTGTGAAATAAAAACAAAACAAAATTAGCGAACCGTTTATTATATTTTAACAGTTTAAACAACTGTATCCAAAAATGGAGTTCGATTGATTTATTTAATAAGAATGATTAATAGCGATTATTTACAGAATTGCTGAGGCTTATAATTTTCTTGCAAGTGTATAACATGAAAATGAAAATTATGAAAATTTTGAATCAGTTCTCAATTGTTACTTGATAATAATTTCATAATAAATGGCATCGCTTAAAGATTTAAACAGTTCCTTTCAGTTAACATTTAAAAATAAACGTATTTAGATTATTATATTCTTTTTTATATTTTTGTTTTAAAGCATAATATTGTTTTCCTAACTTGATATAAGATAAATAATTTATGTAAGATCTCATAATCTTTCATAAATTTATTTATTTATTTTGCTGCCTTTTGTGGCTTATAATTTCTTCTTTCAATTGTTTTATTCGTTCACGTTCAGCTCTCAAGCTATCGGCTTGACCACGAAGATCAGATGTGAAATCGTTGAACATGGTTAACATAGTCCCAAGTAGTTCACGATTTTCGTCATGTATATTACTTTCCGTTTGTGTTGGCTCTGATGTTGGTACCGAACTAGAAGTTGGGGTCTCTACATTGTTAGTAATAACCCTTTGTACTGGTACATCATCACCATCATTACTTGGTCTAAAGGCTAAATGTTGTTCAATAAGATCGGTTGTGTTGATTATATTTTGTACACGTTTAAATTGAGCTTTTAATGAAGCAATTTCAGCTAATTTATCTTTTATATAGTCGGCTTCTTCAGCATTATCATTAGTTTCAGTACTCTCAGCAGAAACCTTTGGTTCTTCTTTTACAGGTAATTGTTGAACACTACTACTATCACTACTTATTTTTACTTCATCATCGTTTTTTAAAACTACATTGTTGTCTTCTGTTGTTTTTAGTGAATTTGAACTTGATGAAGGAATATCATCGTTTTTTTGTAAATCGCTTTGAACATCGACAACAGAACTAGCCGTATTTTGCACCATTGTAGACTGCTCAACAACTTCTTCATTACTGCTTTCAGTTCTGATTGCCACTGACTCTGTGATTCTTCTTTCACTTAAACTGCTTAATTCCGCAGCTTGTTGTCGTAGTTGCTCCATTTCTAGCAGTAGTTGACGATGCTCCTCTTGCATCTGTTGAAGATTTCTATTGGAATTAGCGAGACGCTGGAATAAACGTTAAAAAATATAATTAATCAGGTTCTGTGGAGCTTTACTAAATTTACCTCTCCAAGATCTGCCGAAGGTGGTGGTTTATTTATTCTATTCACCATTGTGATCTGAAAACAAAAGTAAAATAAATTGAAATCAGTTATTTTGATTTAATTTTGAGTAAATATTATATACAGTTTATAGAAGATTTATATATGTGATTATTTATAGCTGCTTTATGAAACATTTTAAATTAATATAATTTAGTTTTTATGTTCATTCAGTTTTTCACAATTTTAAAACGCATTTAAATTTTAAGGAAATTTTCAAGTCTAAAAATATATTAATTATTCTTATTTATTTTTAAATAAATGTATATTTGATTATATAAAATGTATACTTACTTAAAAAAGGTAATTTATTTAAAAACCGATCGGAATATATGTTAACAGTTCTGAATTTGTTTTGAATCTAATGGAGTAAATTCAATTATTCATAGACTCTCTCCCAAGTAGTGTAGGAAAAGTACATTCGGTTCTTTCGACACTGTAGATGAAAGACTGACTGTGCAATAATACATATTTATGATTGATATACAATTATGATATGACATTAAATATATATTAACAATTTCATGTATGCATCTATACTATCATTACGATTAATGAAGTTTTCAATGGACTTGTAGAGAGATTTATAAAATAAAATATATGCTGATTTGTAAACAGTCACTTAGCTGGTTGGGGGATTAAAGGCTGATGCTCTTCCTCATAGTAAACCGAAGAACTATAATTATACATTTTTACATCGGTAATATTTTTTCAACGGAATGGTTTTTGATCTTATCATTTCTGATTAGAATAAAATTGTTTTATAAGTTTCTCTAATAAAATAAAAATTAAATGATATATATAAATTAGAACTTTCGATGTTTAATTTAAATTCAATTATTTTTAAAACTTCGTGGTTAATATATATATTTAAGTAATTCAACATTTGTTTAATATTTTTTTTATTATATTCTATACTTCGACTCTCAGTGCAATATAGACAATAGAATAAAGAGGATGACATAGATAAAGTTTTATTAATATTAATTTATGTTAGATCGTGATCCTAATGATGACTGAGATGTGGCTATTTAAAACTTATTTTTAAATTAGATATGGACCCAAATTTTCTTTCCTAAAAATTAGCCGAGTTAATAAAAGAAAATTTCAGTTTAATCTCTCTCGGAAGTAGTGAAGGCCAATTATGTCAAAATCTGTTCTGTCTGTAAAATAATGACTTATATTCATTAGTAATAAATGTATTATGACTGATTAAGATTAGTTTGTCTTTAAAATTAGTTAGAAAATTAGTTGGTTAGAACTTGTAAAATGAAGTGGTGAAAAGTCCCAATTTTTTATTTTATCAGATAAAAGAATCATATTTTGAAAAGTGTAAAAAATTGATCAAGAAAAATAATAATGCCCTACAAAAAGTGTAGGTTATGTATTTTCAATTTAGAGTGTATATGTTTGCTACTAGAGACAGCCCAAAAGTTTTCACCAAATTTTCTCATTTCTTTAGCCGTAAATAATTTCTCGCTCAATTTTGTAAGTGAATTTAAAAATAGATCTTAAGATTGAAAACCTGCCAGGAGAAACAATTTTTATTGAATTAAAATTTTGCATTTACATTTGTTATGACATATAATTGTGAAAAATGTTAAAGATATAGCTTTTCTTAAATATCGCTTAATGGATTAAAACTTTTCGAGTTTTCATTTACAGTGTTTTTTCAGCTTTGGTGTTTAACACAATAGAGCTGCCATAATTTGATCGCTACATATCATTTAAATTTATCAATCAGTTGAACTCTCTTCGAGCACTTCATTTCTTAGAATAGCTTTCACTCTATTGATATTGAATAACGCAAAGTTCGCATTTCAAAAAAATTATATATAAAGGCTGATCAAATAAGAGCTCTATATATGTCTAGTTTATCTCTCAATAGACTGATTTTGTAATGAGATATTATGTATTTCTGATGACACGATCATCATCAGATGATATGGAAGCATATATCGTTTATGTTTTTCGTGCATCAAATAACCATATTCCGTACCGTTCTTCATTTACGGTAACTAAAATATAATATTCATTTTCAAAAAAATTTTATTCAATCACATCTTCAGACCCTGAACACCCTGAGCAATAAATTGATAATTTTTGTGGATGCACTTTCTTTGTAAACAGTATGTACATTTTTTTCAAAGCAAATGGACTTCATGAACTTCATAGCTATAGATGATTTTTCCATAAAACAATGTCCAAACTGCAAAATTTCTACACAATAAATAGTCATGTGATTTCAATTATTGGATGGATTTAAAATTCTTGATGTTAGAAGAAGATTCAAGACCTTGGCAACGACTTTTTATTTATTTTCTTAGACATTCATTTACATTTAGACTTACAGTATCTATATTCTAAGCAGTAGGTTAATGTTTTTGACAGATTGAATTCCTAATAATACAAATATATCAATGTTAGTCCACATTTTTAGAATAGTAAGTTTTGTAAGAATACGTATACATATGTTGGCCACAAACATTCTCTAACCAATTATGTTTAAGGATAAATAATTAAAATATAGCCTTTGGTGATTTTAAGCAAAATTGACGTGATAAAAGTAAATAATTCGGTTTTGTCTTACGTCTGATTTAATCCTATTATAAGCTGCACAAAAGATCTTTCGGGTCGCAGTACATGCACAGCCTATCCATAATAATAATAAATAATCCTTTTATTCAGGCATAAAAATGTAGATATGGTGTGCTATCAGGTTTTGATATGGTATGCTGGATGCACCCCATGACAAATCTATTCTCTGGTACTGGAACAACAACAACTATAATCCTGATTTTTAACCATATCGTGCAAATAGAGAATTTCATAAAATAGAATCAATAAAATTTATATTTTATAGCACATTTAATTTTTTTAGAAAGTTTATATAAACAATTTTAATTTAAAAATAAAATTATAAAAATAACTATGAAATTATGAAATTATATATAAACAATAAAAATAAAAAGAAATATTAATAGCTTCTTCTTTTCATTTTAATATTTAATATATAAGTTCTTTTGTCCTATAAACAAAGTAAATAAAATAGAATCAATTGAATTTATTCTTGATAGCACATTTAATTATTTTATAAACTTTATATAAACAATTTCGAAGTTTTTGGATTTATTTAATATTTTGTGGTTCACGGCATGTTTCTAGTTTTGAATCGTAAACCAATCCTGGAGTGCAGTCAAGTATAACGCCTCTACCATCCATACAGAAGTAGTAACTTTCTGGACGTAAGTGTGGATAGAAGTGAGTTCCTTCTTTTGGACAATCAATATCCGCACGTTTTGGTGGTGCTCTCGAGAAAGGTTGGATATTACGCTTAACAGCGCTGATCTAAAAGTATCGCGGATGTAAATGTAATTATGAGTAAAATTATATTTTTTTGTTGGAATTACATATATCTTAATTAATTTTAATTATTAATTTTATTAATAATATTTTATTTTTTTAATTTATTGGTTTTAGTGAACTAGATCACCAGTTCACCAGTTAAGTTCAATTTCTTTTTGAGATTAACACCATAAGTAGTTTATTGAGTTGAAAATTAATAAGGGGACGTATTTATTAGTAAATAGCAAATAAAATATAAAAATGAATTATTAATAGCTTCTTCTTTCTTATTTTAATATTTAATATATAAGTTTTTCTATCCATCGTAATTGGAATAAAAATGTTAAATTTCCTACTTCCTACCTTTAGATATGGTTTCTTTATTTCGAAATGTATGGTATTCGGAAATCATTATATATATCATATATTAGCAGTGATGAAGTGAAAGTAATTGTTAAATAAATTGCTAAGTAATTGTTGAATCCCACTATGTATGACATCAAACGTCATGACGTTTACTGAACTATGAAGAACTAAATTTATAAAATATCGTGGTAGTTTCTGTAAATGAACTACATTAACGAACTAGTTCTTTAGCAAGCTATATGTTACAGATTTTATATATTTTATTTTTTTATTTTTTGCATTACTTACTGTGCAATTTACGTTTGATGGGAAATCACAGCAATTACATTCAGAATTAAACATCAATCCACTAGCACAGTTTTGTGCATAGGCTTGACCTTCCATACATATAAAGTATTTGCTACAAGAGGCCTTGCTCTCTAGGAATGTTATATTGGAAGGATCAGTGAATATTGTACAAACATTGTCCACACAATCAACATATTGTGGGAAATCACAACGGTCTGTGTCTGAGTTGTACTGTAAACCATCGCAGCATTCCCGTAGTACTGGTACTCCACTATAGCACAAAACGTATTTGGTACATGTTCTGTCGTAGCAGAAAGAGGATAAGGCTTTTGTGCATGTAGGTAGGCACTGTGCTTGGTCAGGATAAGTGCAAGATTGCGTCTTAGCATCGAAATTGTATCCCTGTTCACAAGTGCGTTCTATGGCCACACTATTCATGCATATATAATATTTAGAGCAATTTCCCAAAAAGGGCAAAAACACGGAGTTCGAAACACCTTCGCAGATGTTAATGTCGGCATTCAACGAGTTGAAAGCAGCGAAGAGAGCACACGCAAATATAAAGAATTTCACTGCAAATTTCAAAATAATTTTAATAAAATTTAAAAAAATATTCTTATGTAGTTGATGACTCACTTTTCGTCTCAATTCTTAAAGGGTCTGTTGTCTTCTACTAACTGAGTAGGTAAATATAATTAATTTCACATTTATAGTTCAAAGCAATGTAATTAATTTGATTGCTTTTTCCAATAATTCTAAAAGAGAGATATTAAAAAATTTGTGGTTTTTTTATTGTTTCCTGTTGGTCTTTTGACATTTCGATATGATTCTTTAAAAAATATTTTCGCAATTATTATTATTAAATTTATTTTTCTTAAAAAAATATTGATTCACACATATATGTGTTTTTCCCTAAAAATATCATGCATATAGTAGTCGTGTACATAAATATCTGTACATGATGTTTATATGAACAATAAAGTTGAACAAAGATAAAGTAAATATGTATAAAATATATCTGTAACTCATATATACAGAAGATTTTAAAAGATTTTAAAAGAAAGATGAAAGTAAAACATTTTTGTATATGACATAGTTACAAATTTTTAATTATTCAGATTAGTTTAGGTTGAAGTGGCAGTCTTGTGCACTAAATTTTATTTGAGCACAAATAATGTCCCACTGTGATATTACGGATGAGACACTGTATATACGATAGATTTAAAGAACCATTTTATATATAAAAGTTTGATATATCTAGCGCACGAACAGCGTCCCCTTGAGAAGGCACGATTCTTCCAGTCAATAAAAAGAAAGAAACAAACCTAACAAGTATATGTATTGGGCTATGTTTCTAATCTTAAAACATAGCAGCTCTATCAAATCAGTAAAAAGGGACTCCAAAAATTTCGAATCTTCTAATCCATGCTGGGCACTAACAAATATGGTGGAGTATTATTTTGCTATTATCATACATTATCATGTTATCATTCAGTAATTTTGCTAGACCATACATTTCTAATATGCAATGACTTGTAAGTTTAAATTTAGTGGAAGCACCTAACTGGTACCAGTTAAGCTGGGTAAAGTCTTTATTTAGCAACATTTTATTGCCAGTCCCAGGTATTTGATTCCTTGCTTGCTTGTTTTAGCGAGTTCGTTTGCTTTACAATTGCCTTAGATGTCCTCCATATGAGTTGAATAGAGACAAGCCTAGACAATTCATTGAGTGAAGCCTGGCATTCTCGAACTACAAGAGAAGTAGCTGTAATATCTACTGGAGATTTAGTTAGACTATTCGAGAAAATTGCGAAATTCATATCAAACTTTAATTATTAAAGCTTATAAATAGTTTCCAAATAAATTTAATTGGTTGATAAATTAACTTAAGAATTACTTTTATATTTTATATTAGAATAAAAATTTTGTTTCTAATTATTTAAATTATATTTAAATTATTATTATTTTGAAAAAATTGTTTTTATATTTCATATTTCTTTTCGATTTATTACATATAACTAATTAACAAGGTGAACACTGATGTATTGTTTGAAAAGCGACACATTATCGTAGGTTGGAAAACTATTTTAAGCTTCTCATAATGCCTAGAGCTTACAAATATTTACATATAATATGTAGCTGTTTTTAATTATTTTAATTACACTTATTTAAAAATTATTCAAGGACTCAAGGACTCTAAAGAATATTACTTGGACACTGATATCTGAGTAGTATATTTTTATTGACCATTCTGTTGCCGCGACTGTCTGGTTTTAAATCCTATTAAGTTCTGGTCTAAAAGCAAGCAGCAAAGATATCTTTAAAAAATGCTTATTGGCTCTGTCTTAGAAATTATTCAACCACTCCTCAAATTTAGAAATTTTTTACTATAAAATTATCATCGAGTTTCAATTTCATCTGATATAGTGAGAAACCAACAGGTCTATATGTGGCGCTGAAATTCTTTGATCTATGGATACTCACACTATTCAGAATTTTTTTAAAACAAATGATATGTACATTCCATCGGGAAGATATGCTAGGCTTCAAACTATATTTCTATAAGATCATTTTAATAACACATATTCAGATTTTAATAAAAAACTAGATCACCCAAGTGATCATAGACAATATTGAGTAAAAGTGCTTTAGGCACTAAAAGAAAAATATATTTATTAGAACTGCAAATTGAAAAAATAACTTTTGATTATTATCCTAACAATAACATGAAAAATAATTTTTAACCCATATTAATTTTTTTATTCCATTAATATTATTACAATATTAATTTAAAATAACCAAACACCAATTAAAAAGTAGGAGTAGTGTAATAAAATACATTAAAAATGATTTTTTTTTATTGAAGTAAAATGTTTCTGAGCTCGCGACATGTTGTTGTTTTGGAGTCATAGAAAAGCCCATGATTACAGGTGAGCAGAGCCCCATGACCATTAGCACACACGTAGTACTTAGTAGAGCGTACATGTGGATAAAAGTGAATTCCCTCTTCAGGGCAGTCGATATTAGCCTTCTGTGCCGGTATATTTTCAGACATCGCAATTGAACGCATGCTAATACTTTTTGGGTTCTGTGAAGAAATTTTTAAATATACATTTCTTAGAGATATAATTAAGATAAAAAGATATATATAACATACAGTGCAAGCCACATTGGCGGCAAGGTCGCAACAATTGCAGGTAGGATTAAATGATAACCCGGTAGCACAGTTCTGTGCAATTGGTTGTCCGGTCATGCAAACGTAGTATCTGAAAAAGCGTATAAATAAAGATATTTAGTTTAAAACTTTCCAAACTGTTACAAATATATATTCCTATGTATAAATTACTTGTTGCAATCGGCGTAGCTTGGCACATAGACGACTGTGGGTATATCGTTCTGTACTGGACAGTTATTTTCCACACAATCGACTTTACTAGCCAAATTACAGTTCAAATCAGTTTCGCTGAATTGTAAATTATCATAGCACTTTCTGAGAATCGGTTGTCCAGCGAAACACATTATATACTTATCACACGTTTTATATAGTGGATAGTAGCTTAGAGTTGATGCTAAGCAATTAATGCAATTGGTAGATGAATGTGTGCAGCTTTGTGCTTTGCCATCGAAATATAGATTATTGTCACATTTTTGGGCTATAGGTGTTTCGTTTACACATATGTAATACGATGAGCAATCATTCATATTAGCTAGAAATATAAAGTCGGCTACTTTTTCACAGATATTTATTGCTTCTTCCTGAGCATTTATCGCAGCGATTGATATTACCAAAACGCACACAAATAGATTCAGCTTCACTATATAAAAAACATAAAAAATTACTTTAAAATTTAAAACATAAATTTAAATTTAATATGCTTTTAATTATAGGGTTTCTTTTTAAACTAACTCTTGTTGCGCTTAAATTTTCCGGCTGTTGTCAAAATCTTGGAGAAAAATTCACTGCCGTTAATATCGCTTGAGATAGCATTTTTATATCGACTATGTTTCGGCAGGAAGTAAACTGATAAAATTATAACTGATCTGTTATCAAAGATTTGATGGTATCTCTGTAATTATTGTGAACATATTTATGCTGATAATTGTTGGCATTTACAATATTAAAATGATTTGTGAGGGCAGCTTCATTTGACGTATTATTTGGAATTTAGTTACAATAAATGTTTAAAAGAGATATGTACGTGGGCCGTACCAAAAGTGTTAGCATTAAATCTTAAATATTCATTCTATCTTGCAAATTCATTGCAAGATGCACAAAAAAAACAAGAATACTATACTAAAATTGCAAGATTGCGTGAACACCTATGTTGCAAAATTGCAACATCAAACTGAAACAGCTGTTTTTGTAGCCCACTACATCCATATGAGAAGCAACAGATGCCAAAATAGCTGTTTTTTTCTTTTTTTGTTTCGTAGTAAGCATATATATGTATATGAGTTTAGATATAGCAAGATTGCAAGCCATTGTAAAAAACTTTGTGCGTGTATTTTGTGCATTTCATGCACCTTGCAATGAGTTTGCAGGATATATGAAATCCTGAAATTTGAGTATTTCAACAGTTCGATCTAAATTTATGTAATGAGTTTGCAATATAGATGAATATCCCTATAGGATTTTTATGAGTAGTTCCAACGTCTAGATCAGGTAAAATATATTTGAGTATTTCAACAGTTCGATCCAAATATTTCAATTCGAGTATTGTCGACCTGCTCGAAAGTTACAGGATATAGATATATTCAAAAATATTGCAATTCATTTAGGACAAAAACTCTTTCTGCTGTATTCGTCGAACATTTATTACTTACTCACTTACTTGTTGGGTAATAACACCACAGCCTGATGCAACATGTCTCTCCAGGCGACTCTGGCGGTTCCTTTAATCACCGCTTGAAATACCTCTTTCGCTGGAGCATCTTTAATTTATATCAATGTCGTGATAAAACTCGTGCAGTTCGTGGTTCATTTAGATGGTGGTTCGCCAACTCAAAGAGGATCAAAGATCTCGAAAACTTCCAGTGTTGCTTCATCATTTTATGATAACGTGCCATACAGGTAGAATGAGCGACCTATATAGCGTAAGTTTTGTTTGTCAAGAAAGAGTTCTACATCCTATTTCCCTAAGAAATTCATACAATACTAGAAACACAATATTAATTATTCAAAAGTGAAAAATTTATGCATTTAACAATATAATATACTATATTAATATTACAACATGTATTATTATTATTAATAATAATTTATTTGTGGTCCGATATTTAAGATTTCGGCAAAGTTGCAATTAATAATAAATAAATAATACTAAGTACTTAGATATGATAGATTAGTTCCTATTTGTTTATAATGTTCTGAAATTGTTCCTCATAGCTGTAGAACTTAATCTGTTGATAATATTTTTCAGAATAGTAGAAATAGAAGAAAGGTTTTTGTTTTAATTTTGGACATTGTTATGGTCTGGCTCAAGGTTTAAGTTGATACAATGTATTAAATATTATGTTTATGTTCAGCCATTTGCATCTTGAGTAAATTGTTATATTGTATCCACATATATTTAATCATTGTATTCGTCAGTCATAAATAACTAAAAAAATTAACACATAATTAAAAATTGGACTAAAACGCGTCAAATTTTGACACTCAGAAGTCGTAATTGAGTCTATATTGTTTCCGAAGAAGGAGGAAAACCTCTCATGCTACAATAAAGAGTTAAATCTAAAGTAATTTTTCAATTATTCTTTAAAATTTAAACTATCAGGGTTTACAAATTCTTTATAGTTATAGGTTCAGATATCTGACTTAAGAAAAAATAATTAAAAAACAAAATGTAGTAATTGATTTCTTTAAAAATAGAACTTGCAACCCTACCCTTCACATAAATTTAAATATGTTTAGTATCAATGATAAAATATGTACTTTTCAAAAATAGATAACCAAATTTCTTGAATTCTATGTTATATACTTATTTATATATAAAAGAGTCGATATATGAGTAATTAAATGCCGCTTAGTTAAATTGGTTGTTCTCTTATTAACATGTGATATATTTAATTTTTTGATTGATAATTACTGAAGTTCAATGATAAAATTGATTGCGTATCATAAATTGAATTTTATATTGAATTTTAATCAAGTGCAGAGATAATTAAAGATTTTTTTTTTCGGAATTCGTCAAATTTTGTATATTTGTGTAGTTAACAACCTCAAAAATATTTTTTAAAACTAAGTGACAAAATCATGATGTAGAAAACTTACTAATTGTATATCTAAAATAATACTATCTAAATAATTGTCCTGTAAAATGGCCAATAATAAAAAAAAAAAATTAAAAAAAAGATTTTTGAAATAAAATAAAAATATAAACTGTATATTATTTGTGAAATTTGTTGTATATTATTTTTTTTATATACATACAAAAAGAAAAAAAAAAATTAAATTATAACTCAAGTTCAGCCAAAATGAATACAAAATATTGCAATAAGCAAAATTATATATCTTTTAATAATTCAAGTTATATTAATTGTAATTTGAATTATTTATGTATAGAAAAGTATACCATATAATTAATTATAATATTTATTAATTGAATTTAAAAATTTTTTATTACATGTAAAATTAATTGGTAGAGGTTTACTAACATTTTTAAATTGAAAAATGCGAAACCTTCATTTATTCAAATATGTTGGAAAATATATAGGTATGATCCCAATTTTGCTATAACTCATATATGGTATGTACTCTTAAAACTACATATTTGAAAGTACTAGATTTTGATGCTTTAATTATTAATATATTTATTAAATTACCATAGAGATAAAAAATCTATTGTTAATATATATTTTAAATGGAGTTAATTATCTTTTTGATAATTTAATCTATTCTTCTATATAGTAAATTAAGATTACTATAATTTTATTTATTAAATACATAATTTAATATCACATTTTTAATACAAATAAATTGACACTAATATAGTCATTTCTTAATAGTTCTAATTTATACAATAACACTCAGAGTCAGAGTTAATTAGCCCACTGACAAATAGCTGTACCTGACCTATATTGTTTTAACCTGGAGATTTGCGAATATGGTGCAAAAGTTTATTAACAAATTTATTTGTACAAAGAGGTTTTTTCGAACAGTAGTGAAATACAACAACAAAAATTTTATTTTTTATATTATTTTAATTAAATAATTAATTAAATTTATTTGCTGTATTGTATTAGAACGAAATTACACACCAGTTATAGAATAATTTAAGTAAATATTTATAGTAATTATATAATTTTTTATTTTCAATGATATTTTTTTCAATTATGTTCAAAATACCTTTCTATTAAAAACCGTGTATATTGAGGAAATAGTTCTTTTCATCATAATTAATTTTAAAAATCAAATTCAAATTGAAGTAAATCATTCCTAAGAGTTTGTAAAAACTTACGTATAATATTAGTTTCATTCTAGAGCTTTGACTTTAGGTCCGTAGCCTTTATAATACATTCCTTATAACATACCATACACATAATCTGTGATATACATAGAATGTTTTAAGTTAAATAAATTTAAAAGTCTCTATTCTAATTTCTTTTCTGACAATGACGTTTGTTCTAATAACGACTTTAAATGTGTATTTTTGTTTTTACTTTATTTGCATAAAGTAATTAAATAATATTTCTGCAGATTCCCACCCATCTCATTGACTAATTTGAGTATTCCACATAATCTAAATAATTCCGTCTTTTAGTCATTACAGATGTTAAAAATTGATTTATAGGCCGTGTGTGAGTTCGAGTAAATTGAGGAAAATAGTAAATTATGTCGGTATGGCAGGAAATGTTGGTATTTACCAGAATTTCGAGTAGGGTAAATTATATAAAAATTAGGTAAATTAGGTGTTACTATTGTGAAAATTTTTTAAGATGTTTAATAAATATATAAATAAATTTGAAAACTTATAACTAAAAATAATATATAAGTGCAATAAATAAAGACATAAATAAATAAATATTTACATAAGAAAAGTGCAAAAATTCCTAGGAAATTTCAATTTGCTTTACCTCAATTTACTCGAACTCGACCATAAATGTTTAAAGGTTGTGAGGCATTATTGTTGTTTTATTTATTTTCTAAATTGTTTCGATTTAATGATTGACTTTCTAGATATTTAGTTTTAATTTAAATTAACCAATTAAAGTTGATTATTTTTGTTATGTTTTTGTTTATTGAGACAAACATTATTTTGATATTTTAAATATTTGTAAAATATAACTTACTTTTATTTTTTTGTCTGCAAATATGCCTTATCTATTAAACACAGTTATCATATCAGAAAAGCTTTTTTGTGACATTTATATGCAGAGATGCTGTTAATTGCGCCAGCGCTGTAGCAGAAATGCTAACGTCTCTCTATCTCTCTCTTTCTCCTTTCAAGAAGCAGCAGCAGCAGTGGCAGCATCAGCTTCATCGTATATACCAAGAACAATAACAAAATAAATAAAGCTTTTCCGCGCTTTTTTCATATGACAAATATTAACATTTAAGGAAACAAATTTTGAGATTTAATCCTTCAGCTCAGTTGTACATTGGTCCTTCTTCAGTTAAACGAATAACGAGACGCATTAAATAAATTTAAGAAAATGTGAAAAAGTGATAAATCAAATTAACATAATTTTCTAAAATAATTAGTTTTTATATCGTGGAACTGCCAAAAATTTAAAACATAATAAATTTAAATAAAATAAAATTGTATGAAAGTCTAAAAAGCTATAGATAAACATTACAATTATAAAAAATTATATTGCAATGAAAAAATACTAAAATTTAAAGGATAGACTAACAACTCTTATTTTCTAAAATACAAAATAATAAAATATAAGAGGAGTAAGTTAAATAAAAATGGCATATAATAGTTTCATTTTATCTGTTGTGTTATTGTTAATATTAA